CCCTCCCAGGAGCAGGCCCTTGCCTCCCCTTCTTCCCCCGCAGGCATGCATCTCCTAAAGTCTAAGGGACCCCATGAGGTTTGCAACCAGGGCAACAATGGGCAGTGGCAGCTCATCCTGGGATAACCCCCTGAACCTGTTTCCAAGGCCCCCTTTTCTCTGACTTCCCAGTGAGCCAAAGCAGCCCAGCCCAGGCTCTCCTGTTGCTTCTTCTATACTCTTCCTCGTTTCACTGTCCTAAGTATATTTTTGCTGCAGTCAATAAATTCTTGCTTGCTTTTCTACACTTTATCTCTTGATTAATAAAATCCTTCCTTCAGGAAGACAAGAACTGAGGTCTCCTCGTCTCCCTGGTAACAAAACCCTCATGCAGGTCTTTTTTAAGCTTCCTGGCTGGCACCACTGAGACTCTGCTGGACTGTCTCCATGTTGTCACAGCTAACCTCCAATACCCCCAAGGGTTTTATCACCTGCCCATGGAACATCAAGCCAAACTGGTTGAGCACTTCATGTTTCCAGGTTTATTCTAGGGCAAGAAAATGTTAAGGGTCATTCAGGAATTCAGGAATTGTCTTTGCATTTTAAAAAAAGTATTTTTATTTATCTGCACTTTTTAATTGCATTTTTCATCACAGAAAGCATGTGTGTAGACAAAATAGGTACATTTTTGTTGTTTTTTAAATCCTCACTCAAAGATATTTTTCCATGGATTTTCAGATAGAGTGGGAGGGACGGAGAGAGAGAAAAACATCCATGTGAAAGAGACACATCGATTGGTTGCCTCCCACACAATCCTGACCAGGGTCAGTTATCGAACCGCAACTGAGGCATGTACCTTTGACCAGAATTGAACCCTTGACTCTGGTCCACAGGCTGATGCTCTAATGGCTGAGCCAGACCGGCCAGGGCAAAGCAGGTACTTTCATACACTGCTTTCTTTGTAACCTACTATTTTTGAAGCTCCTTTCTCTCTCCTTGCCTGCCCTTCTCTACAACAATCCTGGGTTGTTTCAGTACTACTTTCCTACACCTTCCAATGTTGAAGTGTCAACAGGTGTTCTGGTAGCTAAAACAGTCTGTGGCATCAGAGCACCAAACCCAAGGACCTGCCACAGCCCTGGCCAGATGGCCATGTGATGATGACAAACAGCACTTTTAAAGCAAGCCTATTAGGTGGTCTATCAGAGCTCCATCTAGAGACAGGAAGAAAGCCAGGCCAGAGGGGAGACCAGGTTGAGATGTTTAAGAATCATGCACCCAGCTCTGACTCCTCCGACAGTGGTACAAGCAGTTACTTCCTCTGCAGAAGTGCTGGGACTTTATAATACACATATTACAAAATCACACAACTTTGTAGCTAAAGAACAAAACTTACACCTCTAAATGAGTATTTTTCTAAGGTATTACTTTGAGGAACCTTTATTCTGATTCCAGAAATATCTTGGCATTACCTTCAGTACTCATGACTAATTCTTTTGACTATATTTAGTGGTGGCAAATACCAGTTATTTGAGAGTGTCACTTTCAAAAACAACCAGGTCATTCAGAACTAAGAATTATAAGATGAAGGAATCAGTATTATTTTGGTGTAAAACCCAAGGTTCTGGTTACAGTAAAACAAGTTGGAGTTTCCTGTGCAGACCCAAAAACAATCTGAAAAGGTAATTTTAAAGGTGCCCTGAATAATGGCAATGTTGCTGTCAACTAAGGTGTATGCTACCAAGGTGACAACTTTGAAGAGGTCATTGATGTGGATGCACAGCTGGCCCTCTAGATCCACAGGCTTTGTATTCATGGTCAACCGTGGATTGAAAACAGTATTTTTGATGTGTGGTTGGGAATCTGTGGATGCAGAGGGCCGACTTTATGCATCGTTCTATGCCATTTTATGTAAGGGACTTGAGCATCTGTGTATTTTAGTATCTGTGGGGAGGTGGGTATCTGGAACCAATCTGACAATAACAAGGAATGACATTCTGGAGTCTCATTACTCTACTTTCACAATCATTAGGAAAAAGGTTATAGAACACAGACACACCTCGTATAAACCTCATTTCTGAGTCGCAGGCAGAAATTTTAAAAATAAAATGAATTCTTAGCTTCAGTTAATGGGTCTCCATGTCTTTAGCGTAGGGGCTAAGAGGTAGTGACATAAGACTCTCCGGTCCAGTAGTAATATCTATTAATATGTAACCTAACTGTAGATTATATTGCACTTGGGGGTCTGGGTCTCCTACTTTCTAGTTCTTAATCTAACAGGTATACTGACCTGGACAATGTCTATATTAATAACCCTACTACATAGCCCTTACTACTAACTACTTTGAACTTTCTTAGCACGATATACATTTATATCAATTCAATGATATTACTGTATTTATATTACTATTTTTATTCCTATCTTCCATGAGAGAACTGAGCCAGAAAGATGTTGCCTAAGACCAAACAGTATACTGCAGAGCTGGGATTGGAACCCTGGCAGTCTGGCTCCTCTATGCTCTAATAATACTCTCTACCACCCTATCTATACTACTTCTATGAGACAAGAGAAAACCAGATACATTAATCAAATGCTCAATAGGAAAAAAGACAACAGGAAGCTCATTTAAGCAGCAGAAAGGAGGGGGTGAAGTGAGACAGATGGACCTGTGTAAAACAGGAAATCCATAAAGCAGCCACGAGAGTTCCATGGGCAGCCTGGCCATGGGCAAAAAGGCTTTGTTCTAATTTATTTACAGAAAAGAGGAGGCAGCTGGAAAGATCAGGGGGTTATGAGGAACCAGTTTCTGGCACTGTTTTCTGTATATAAAGCTCTCCCTTGATTACAGAAGAATCAGCTAATGCAAGAATGGTAAAAACCCCGAAATACTGTTAATAGGACAATTGATACCCAGGGCACAACACTTTGTCAACTTTATTGGCTAGTAAACAGGCTGAGTGAGTCACAGTAAACTCGCTGTTTCACACGAGGCAGGGTAAGTGCAGTGGTCTACCTGGTGTCTCCACGAAGCTTTTAGAACTCGGTGACTCAGTTCCCTTACAGAGCGGGTGTGTGTGCAAGAAGCGAGTGAAGGTGCCTTGAGATGTCTCCCCTTTAACTACAGAATGCCAAAGCTATCCCGAAACCTCACCTCACCTCACAGAAGCAGAAACTGAGTCTCTTAAAACGGAAATGACTTGGATGGGGGTCCTCTGACTCCAAGACGGGTTTCTTCCCACTTCTACAGGCTGACTCTACCCTCGTCCTTGTAACCATTCAGGACAAACAACACAAGCCCGATTTAAGCCCTTCGGAAAACGGGAGCCACACCAACCCTGCAGGGGAGAGCACTGCTTCAGCAGGGTTTCCTCTTGCTTTAGAGGACCTGCGTCCTCTCCCTGGGACCTGAGCGGGGTCCAGAAAACATCCGAGTTGACGCTAAAATCTGCAAAGTATCAACTGCAGGAGGCGACCGACAGGAGTTTAGTTTCCTGTTAGGCAGGCAGCCGTCCCCGCGGTCTATCCCACGAAGCCTCAGCCCACAGGCGAGGCGCGGGACGCTCGGCCGCCAGGTCGGCCATACCTACCACCCGTCCCCCGCCGACGTGCCAGGGATTCCCGGAAGCCCGCCCGGCGGGAGCAGCCAGTCCCCGGGGCCCCTCGGGCGTGGGGAGCAGCCCGTCCCCGGGGCCCCTCGGGCGTGGGGATGCTGGGGCGCAGCCCGTCCCCGGGGCCCCTCGGGCGTGGGGATGCTGGGGCGGGCCCAAGTACTTCCTCCCTTCCCGGCCCACCGCCAGCTTAGTCACCGCCGCCCACCGGCCACGCCGCCCAGCCCCGCAGGTCGCTGATCCCTGGGCCGCTCCGTCACCGGGCGCGGTCACGTGAGGTAGGCCCGTAGAACCAATGGACAGCCTGGGCGGAATGGAAGGGATTGTCTGACCCCCCTTACGTCACAAAGCTGGCAGGGCGCGCGCCGCTTTTCCGCACCCCCGCCAGCCGCCACCCCCCCTCCCCGGCCTTCCTCCTCCCCGCCCCCCCGCCGCTGCGCAGCCAATCGCGAGGCGGGAAGAGCCCCAGCCCGAACGCACGGGCGGGGTGGGGCCGGGCGGGGCGGGGAGGGGGCGGGGGGCGCGGAGTGGGCTGGCCGGGGGCGAGGAGCCGCGCTCCCGGGTGTTGCGCCGGGTTTTGTGGTAGGAGCGTCGGGTGGTGCTGTCGCCGCGGCTGCCTCCTGGTCGAGAAGAAGCGTCTGCTCCCTTGCGGTGCCTGGTTCGTATTCCCTGCTCCAGCCCCGAGCCACTTTGTTCGAATCTTCCTCCACCCGCATGGAATTGTGAAAGGGGTGCCCGCGCGTGGGGCGTGCGGCGCCGCGAGCGTGCGGTGGGAGGATGGGCGGGCGGGGTGGGACCGGCCGGGAGCTCCAGGTGCGCGCGGGCCCCGCGCGTCCACTGTCAGTGCCGGGGACACCGTAGGGATCCGCGGGGACCCAGGAGGTGCGGCGCGGGCGGTGCGTCGTCTGCGCCTGAGGGACCCCCTTACACACGCCAGGGTCCGGGGTGACTCCACGGGAAGCCCGCCGCGGGCCGCCCCTGGTCTGAACTGAAGCCGTGGCCGTGTGGGCCTTGGCAGGCAGCGGGCGGAGGATGCCGCGGGCGGAGGATACAGCGTGCCCGTGGGCTCCGCGCCCGGGCTGGATGGAGCGGCTGGTCCCCGGGCGTGCCTCTGCTCGCCTTTAGGCCGCCGCCTCGGGCTGTGGCTCTGCTTTTCCCGCGATCTAGGTTGGTTTGTTTGGTTTCCTTCTTCTCCCCACCCCTTTCTCCATCCGTCCTTTTCTCTCTTCCCCCTTCCCAGCCCAGCCCCATTCACCCGGCCAGAACGAGACCCCGCCCCTCCCCCGCTCTCCCCCTCCCCCGCTCCCTGCCCCTCCCTGCTCTCGCCTCCCCCGCCAGCGTCTCCTCTAATGAGCATCTCTGCCTTGCTTTCAATGGGCCGTTGCTGCTGTCGCTGCTGCTGTTCACGCGGGTTGTGGATGTTGTCGGCTCCGTGTTGTGATGACAGGAGAATGTGTGTGTGCCCCGGGCCCAGACGAATTGGTAGGTATTCACTGAAAGATCTGCGTTGGGTACCCTGGAAGGATGGTGACTGATTCTGTGTTTGGACGGTTTTAGGTGGGTCGGTGTGGAAATAAGGGGCGAGGTAGATGGAAAAGAGGACAAAGGCTTCCTGGACCCGGATAGCTTTGATGCCTTGGTGAGTGCAGTTTTTAGATAGGAGTGAAAGAAAATAATCAAACAAGTGCTGGCTTGGGGCTTTGCGTCTTACAAAGGAAACCAGTTTCTTCATTCTTGTAGCGATAAAGGGAGCTGTGAAATGGCTAGGCGGTTAAGAAAATGCTGAAAAATCGCAGTCTTCATTCAGGATGTGTAATGCAATAAATAGGATTACATAAACTAAGGTTCTGACACATTTAATAACTAGTATAGCTTTTTTTTTTCTTTTACACCAAAGCTTTGCAAAGCTAAAGAGCTCCAGAGTCGGTGCAGTGACAGCATTTTCTAATTAATTTGTTCTTTGGGTTTATTGATGAAGTGGAATCATTTCTTGGCACAGACTCTGCTGAGCATATCAGTAAGAATGGGTCTCTTTCCAGTTTCTGGTTGCAGTGCATCTTTCCTTATTATTCATTAGCAAAATCGACAAAACCCATCTAGGACAAAGGTGCTGCATATAATGTGTCTTCATCTGGATCATGGGATACGAACTTTCAGTGAAAACATGGTTAGAAATAATTTGAAAAGTTGACACTGCTCCAGTTTACCAACAACTGTACCTTGTTGCTGTTCTTTGTCCATCAAGAGCTTTCTACTTAATTTATTTAGCCAGTTCTTCAACGTAATTTGTTTTATGGGTTTTTTGTTGTTGAATCACCTAATATTTAGAAAGATACTCAATGTTTGCTCACTTATGGTTTCTGAAAACATTTGAAAGTATTCTGACTTCTAAGGGTATCTGGTCTGATGGAGAAAATATATCACTTGTACTGGTGAGAACAGGACACATTAATCACAGAGCAGAGTTTTCATGAATTTCATCTTTCCTAAGAATGTCATTTGAAGGCATATTGGGAGTTGGGGGATTGGGATGCAGTCTCAATTCATATGCTAAACTGAATAAGTGAAAGATACAGTTGATAAAATTCACTCACTGTTTTCAATCTCGAGAACCTTTGATTTGAAGGAAAAATGTAATATATTATTTGGGCATTTCAGTGCTTGTGGTTTGAATGTACTGTATGATTCCAAGCATTTGCTGCATGACTCATTACTTCTTTTGCCATATTTCACTCATTTTACAATCAACTACAAAAGCATCAAGTTTTTCAAAACAAAGCAATATAAGGAAAGTGCAGGTTTCCTGGACTTGCTTTTCCTTCATTAGACTTCATGCAGGGTGGGGCAAAAGTAGAGTTACAGTTGTGAAAATGTGAAACACAGAGTTTATTCTTGTATTACTATTTACTAATTATAGTTTTATTTCCCATACAAACTACTGTAAACCTACCTTTGCCCCACCCTGTATGATGAAATCCTGTTACATATCTATTAAACTCCTTTTTTCAAACACACACAGATTCAAGCTACATTCCATCAGCAACACGTTTTTTGTTTCTGTATGATTCTTAAGTTTTAAAGTAAGCACAAATAGAAACTTTTTTTCATTAAGATAGGCCTCTGTTTACATTTTTAATAATAGAAAATCTTTATACAGAGCATGAAATGAGTTAATGTGCTTTCTGCGTGCAAACTAGGAGATTTGGTTTATGTCTGGAAACCAGTGTCATGTGGCCCAACATTTGAGCATATTTCCTGGCTTAATTTGGATGAACACTTAATTTGGATGACTTTCAGGTATTCAATTTGAAGTACTATTATTTAAGTGGTTAGTCTTGATAGATTGCTCTTCTGGAATTTCTATTTTTTATTACTGCATTTCAGATGGCTTACTTAGTTATTGATCTTATTTCCAAAATTCTTATCATTACCTTTTATTGCTTAATTTTGTCTTCAATTTTATAAACAAATCTCTTCTTAAATAGTGCAGTTAAAATATGGTACTTCTGTCGCTTGCAAAAGGGGTTCTTTATGACTAGCTTATGCAATGCTTATTATAGAAGCAAACAAGAATCAGTTATTATTCATTGTTTGGTTTTCTCTGTTCCCCACTTATCACTTTTTCACTAATTACTCTTCAAAAGAAGGCACATAAAAAATAATGTAATATATAGCTAACACTCTATGATATTTGTAAATTTTTTGTCCCTTAATGGGTTTATTAACCTTTGGAAGGAATAGCTGATACTAAGATTCAATTTGTTTCATTTTCCTTATTTCTTTTTGTTTACTGTATTTTCTAATATAAAGTATTTTGTAAAGCTTATTTTTTTTATAGGCCAAATTAATATTTTGAGGCAATGCCTTAAGAATTCAGGGAAAATATTATTGAAGAAGAAGGAAGACTTTTTTTCTTACATGTATTATCTGGGTTACTGGTGAACATTCATTAAATTTTCTAGATAAATGCCCAGCAAAATCTTTTCAGTGTCATATACTGAGTGATATGATTTAGTTTTATTCAAGGTTATAATTCTATACCTTTTTTATCTAAACCTTAGACTATTAGAGTATTATTTCACTATTCTTTATTGCTTCCCAAGGACAAATAGATACTTTTGTAATGTAAGAGAACATATTTTCTAGTGGTGAATTCTACTTGGGATCCATAACATAATTGATGAAAATAATATTTCTATAGCTTTCCCTATGGCTAAGCAGAAGAAAATGCTAGTAAGTACATTAAATTCCAGAACTGAGATTATGTTAGTAACAGTTTTGGAGCTATTTAAATACTTAAACTTTTTTAATGAAGGACACGGTAAAATTAATGAATAAATGAAACCTGCATTTGAATTCAAAGCCTCACTTCAGCAATCATTTATAAAGTCATAGACTCCTTGAAGAGGCCTTAGATAGCATCTTTTTTAATGTGTTCAATTACATTTTAGGAAAGTGAGGTCCAAAGAGGTGAGCCAGCTTTTACAGGATTAATTTGGCAAGTTGGTGGGAAACCTATGTCCCTAAGCTCACCATATTGGTGCAGTGGTCTAGAAAGCATTATTTGCAAGGCCATTCATGGGGGTATAGGAAGGGAATATTGGCATTTCTCTTGTTATGTAAAATTTTTTTGTGTATGTTATAGTGAACATTATATTAGTATAGTAGTACATGTGTATAACTTAAAAGTAGTGCATAAATATACTTAGGTTGGGGATGCATCCTAACACATTTTGGTGATAGCCATGTGTAAATCAAATGCTAACAGTTCACCACAGGTCTAGAAATGGGGTGTTGGTAAATGGGAGAAGTCCTTGAGCAATATGGGCGATCCAAGGCCTTTTTTAAGGATAGAGAGGGAGAGGGTGATTGGCCAGGTATACTGCCACTGCATAGTGTTATGTAACATTCATCTCCTCAGCTCTCCCCAGCTAAATCTATTATACGTTGAGCACAGTTTGTGCTACACAAAGAAATATGATGAAAAGAGAAAAGTAAATTTGGACTACCGTTCAGTCTTGGCTCCATAAGTGATTGGGAACTGTGTTCAGTAGAATATACCCTATAAAAATAGTACATGGTGTGGGTATAAAATACAACCTCTTAGCACAGGGCTTAGTAAATAGATTCATCTGCTAACTATGTACTGTAAAAGCAAAGATAGATTAAGTAATCTGAAGTATAACTTTTTCTTTGTGTGTACCTGTGTAATTTGTGTTGTAGGAATCCCAGTCAGAAGTTCCAGCCTGTCACTACTCTCTGATGCCATGCCAGCACCAACTCAACTGTTTTTTCCTCTGATTCGTAACTGTGAACTGAGCAGAATCTATGGCACTGCGTGTTACTGCCACCACAAACATCTGTGCTGCTCATCCCCTTACATTCCTCAGAGTCACCTGAGGTATGCACCCCATCCGGCATATGCTACCTTTTGCAGGCCAAAGGAGAACTGGTGGCAGTACACCCAAGGAAGGAGATATGCTTCCACACCACAGAAATTTTACCTCACACCTCCACAAGTCAACAGCATCCTGAAAGCGAATGAATACAGTTTCAAAGTGCCAGAATTTGATGGCAAAAATGTCAGCTCTGTCCTTGGATTTGACAGCAATCAGCTACCTGCAAATGCACCCATTGAGGACCGGAGAAGTGCAGCAACCTGCTTGCAGACCAGAGGGATGCTTTTGGGGGTTTTTGATGGCCATGCAGGCTGTGCTTGTTCCCAAGCAGTCAGTGAAAGACTCTTTTATTATATTGCTGTCTCTTTGTTACCCCATGAGACTTTACTAGAGATTGAAAATGCAGTGGAAAGTGGTCGGGCACTGTTACCCATTCTCCAATGGCATAAGCACCCTAATGATTACTTCAGTAAGGAGGCATCCAAGTTGTACTTCAACAGCTTGAGGACTTACTGGCAAGAGCTTATAGACCTCAACACTGGGGAGACAGCTGATATTGATGTTAAGGAAGCTCTAATTAATGCTTTCAAGAGGCTTGATAATGACATCTCCTTGGAGGCTCAAGTTGGTGATCCTAATTCTTTCCTTAACTACCTGGTGCTTCGAGTCGCATTTTCTGGGGCCACCGCTTGTGTAGCCCATGTGGATGGTGTCAACCTTCATGTGGCCAATACTGGCGATAGCAGAGCCATGCTGGGTGTGCAGGAAGAGGACGGCTCTTGGTCAGCAGTCACTCTCTCTAATGACCACAATGCTCAGAATGAAAGGGAACTGGAACGGTTAAAATTGGAACATCCGAAGAATGAGGCCAAGAGTGTGGTAAAACAGGATCGGCTGCTTGGCTTACTGATGCCTTTTAGGGCTTTTGGAGATGTAAAGTTCAAATGGAGCATTGACCTTCAAAAGAGAGTGATAGAATCTGGCCCAGACCAGTTGAATGACAATGAATATACCAAGTTTATCCCTCCTAATTATCATACACCTCCTTATCTCACTGCTGAGCCAGAGGTAACCTACCACAGATTAAGGCCACAGGATAAGTTTCTAGTGTTGGCCACTGATGGGTTGTGGGAGACAATGCATAGGCAGGATGTAGTTAGGATTGTGGGTGAGTACCTAACGGGCATGCACCACCAACAGCCAATAGCTGTTGGTGGCTACAAGGTGACTCTGGGACAGATGCATGGCCTATTAACAGAAAGGAGAGCCAAGATGTCCTCAGTATTCGAGGATCAGAATGCAGCAACCCATCTTATTCGCCATGCTGTGGGCAACAACGAGTTTGGGTCTGTTGATCATGAGCGTCTCTCCAAAATGCTGAGTCTTCCTGAAGAGCTTGCTCGGATGTACAGAGATGACATTACAATCATTGTAGTTCAGTTCAACTCTCATGTGGTAGGGGCATGTCAAAACCAGGAATAGTGAGAGCTTACCCTGGCAATTCTCAAATGAAATTGGTTTAAAGGACAGATAGATTTTTTTTTTTTAACAATACTAATGTAATAAACATTTCCAGTGGGTCATTCTAAGCATTTACCCATTTGATCTAGCTAGTCAAGAACTCCAGTGGACTTAGTAGTAGGGTGGCAGAATAGTGAGAGTTGTTCTGCCTGGCTCAGCTCCTGTACTTGAGGCAAGTCAGTTCCTTATTGCAGATTTCTTGTGACATTGGCTTCTTGTATCAGTCTGAGAACATTAGGATAACCTGGCTAGGATTTGGAATAGGTCAAAAGCAAGAATTTTGCTGGGTGTATTTTCTTGGTAAAAGAAACAGTACTATTCACACCTGCAGGCTCCTTTTGTCACAGATTCCAATGTACATGAGAACATTTATTTATTGCATGATTTCCTAGATATACAATCTATGCATTGTTCATATAAATTAATTTTATCCAGAGGTGGTTTTCAAATGCAGTACTTTAAGCCATACATGACCCAGAACCAAGCAATCTGAATTTGTAAATGTTTGCGATTACTTGGAATGCTTTTAAAATGAAAAAAAAAACAACTACTTATTTCCCTACCTAATTACCTAATGTCATTGAAACATACTCTATTTTGCCACACACTTGAAGACAATAAAGGTTTTTAGTTTTATTTACTTATATTGATGTTATATAAAATATATATTTTTTAGTTTGTATTAATGAAAAGCTTTATTTAGTTTGAAATAAAGGATCTCAAATAAAAAGAAGAGACTGATATGTTCAACTGTTGTCACGTATAGCCACCAGCACATCACTTTTATCATGTAATTCTCAAAGGTTGGCAGGCTGTAAGTGTCTGAGTGATAGACTGCTGCTGGTAAATCATATTCTGATTTCATAGTGAAGGATTTTCATCACTTGGAATTTTAAGAATGAAGTAACAGTTTAAATATCAATTTGAGGAGTAAGTTACCTTCAGCTGTTGAGACAGGAAAATTTTCGTTTTTCCCCACTTAGACATAGGTCAATTAATTACTAAATGCTTCAAATAATATTGTAGCTTATAAATAGGAGTGTTGAGATATACACATGAGAAATTTTAAAAGGTAACTATTTTGCATGCCTGATGCTTAACACTTAGCATCAAGTGTTATTTGCAGCAGTCTCTGTAATTATATGCAGTCCCTTCTAATGCTATATTGAAGTAAAGGAAAATAAACATATTCAAATTGGCTTTTTGGGAGCTTATTTGATATACATCAAATGGCATTTTGTTCCTGTGTTTAATGGTGATCTGTGTACATCTGTGCATACATTTTCTTCACTTATTCTAGCAACACTGTTAAGAGTGGCTATGACTATGTTTGATATTCATATAGATTTTAATATAAAATATGATCAGCTTTCCCTTGTGTAATTAGTTGAGGGTGTTTAGGGAATCCTTTCAGATTTCTATAGAATATGAACCAGATGTTCAAAGACTCCCCATGGCCTGGGGACACTAAAGCATCGTAGAACTGACTGCAAAACTCAGTCTGGTTGTAAATTAGAGGAGATTGCAGCTCAGAACATATAGTGTTTGTTTTCTGAGGCCTTTTTCCCCCTTGTTTTTTATTTGTAGTTTTTTTATTCTTCCATTAGCTTGGAACTTTTTTTCCTAGAAGCATTTTTGAAGAGGAAAAGACTGTACTATATATTTATTTCTAAAAGTTTTGACAAACATTTCTTCTTTTAACAAAAAAAACCTTATTTCTTCTGTTAATGAAATATGTAGACTGCAGTAGCAGTTAAAACCCATTCTCAGGTTACTGTTTGAATTTCTCTCGAACACCACCCCTGAAGGGTTCCATATTACATATTTAATAAAGTCTCATTTCTATGTAGTACAGTGTATATGAATTTAGTTTACTGTGGTCATGATCAACATAGTAATTTTTTTTTAAATTCTCACTTGATATATTTATTGATTTTAAAGAGAGAGGAAGAGAGAAGCATTGATCAGTTGCCTCTCGAACATCCCCCAACCAGGGATCCAACCTGCAACCTAGGTATGTACCCTGACCGAAAATTGAACCCACAACCTTTTGGTGCTTGGGACGATGCTCCAACCAACTGAGCCACTTGGCCAGGGCAACATAGTGATTATGATTATTATTACACAAGAAACTTGTTCTGTAGTCCAAAAGCTGGTCTCCAGAAAGAAAATGCAGTGTGGAGTTCAAATTGTTGAAATGAAAATAATTGGATATTAGAAATCTGAACGTACTATCACCTGAAAACAGTTGTGATTTTATTATAATTGGTTGTCACTGTGATGTTATATGTAGAATTAGAGTATTGTAAAGAAGACATGTAACCTTACCTTGTATTTAGCCTTTCGTAAACTTTTTTTTTAATTTAAACTTTCTAACATATGTATCGACTTCTGTATTTATATTTAATCAATGGCTTATGATATTTATAATATGCCCTTAAATAGTTACATGGAAGAGTGGTCTGGTACACAGTACTTGGTAGAAAAACTGTCTTATAAAAGATGTATCTGTGTGAAGACATAAGAAAAGTTTATATGTAATATAGAGAATTGGTAGAGAAATGCCACAGTGAATTAAAGTTTCATATCTGCTTTCTGAATGGCTTCTGTTGATTTTTTAAAGTTTATTGGGATAACATTGGTTAATAACATAATTTTCAGGTGTACAAGATTATAATTTGACATCTGTGTACTATTGCTTGCTTACCACATGAAGTCTAATATCCTTCTGTTACCATATATTTGACCCCCTTGAACAACTTTGCCCTCTTCCCACCTCCATTCCCTTCTGGTAACCATTTTGTTGTCTGTGTTGGTTATTATTATTATTTTTAAATATATTTTATTGATTTTTTTAGATGGAGAGGAAGGGTGAGGGGGAGAGAGAGAGAAACATCAATGAAAGAGAATATTGATTGGCTACCCCTCCCCCCCTGCATGCCCCACACTGGGAATCAAGCCCACAACTTGGGCTTGTGCCCCGACCAGGGATCGAATCAGTGACTCTTGGTGCATGGGACAGTGCTCAATCCACTGAGCCATACCAGATGGGCTTGTGTTGATTTTTAGTAATAGATTAATTAGATTCTTTCTATGGTGGTATGTTATACTTAACTTTAGGACCTAGTTAGACAAGTAAGTTTTTTTTTATCCTCACCAGAGGACATTTTTGCATTTATCTTCAGATAGAGCAGGAGAGAAGTGGGGAAGAGAGAGAGAAACATCGATGTGAGAGAGACACATTGAGTGGTTGCCACTCACACGACCCCAACTGGGGCAGGGACAAACTGCAACTGGGTTTAGCGGCAACCAAACCCAGAACTCTCTGGTCCGCAGGCTGATGCTCCAATCACTGAGCCAAACCAGCCAGGGCGACAAATAATACTTTAAAAAAAACAGGTATACTTTTTATTCAATAAAATATACAGATTTTAAATATATCATTTGAGATTTGGTGACCACAATCCCAATGAAGATATAAAACTTCCATTACTCCAGAAAATTCTCTCGTGCCCCCATCTAGTTAATCCCTCCTCATGTAACTATTGTTTTGATTTGTATCACCATAGGTTAGTATTCTAGAATTCACATAAATCATTATGTATGAACTCTTGTGATTGACATTCAATTTTTTGAAATTCATTTATGTTGTTAAGTATATCCATACTCTCTTATTATCAAGGGGCATGTCATAGTTTGAATGTACAATTTATCCATTGTTGATAGGCATTGTTATTCCTCTTCCCTTTTATTTTAAAAAATTTTTATTTTTAAAATATTTTTTATTGATTTTAGAAAGAGAGGAAGGTAGAGGAGAGAGAGAAAAACATTGATGAAAGAGAACATTGATTGGCTGCCTCCTGCATGTCCCCCACTGGGGATTAGGCCTACTACCTGGGCCTGTGCCCTGACTAGGAATTGAATTGGTGTATGGGTCAACACTCAACCACTGAGCCATACCAGCTGGGCGCCTCTTCTCCCTGTTTATCTTTTAGATTAGCAATTCCCAGGAGTACTATTTGGTTGAAGTGTAGTTTTTTTTTTGTTTTTATCATCACCCAAGGACATTTTTCCCTATTTTGTTCAGATAGAGTGGGCGGGGGCGGGGGGAGAGAGAGAGAGAGAAACGATGTGAAAGGGACACATTGAGTGGCTGCCACACAACCAGGGCCGGGGACAAACTGCAACCAGTACGTGCCCTTAGCGGGAACCGAACCTGGGTCTCTCTGGACCGCAGGCTGACGCTCTAACCGCTGAGCCAAACCGGCCAGGGCGAAGTGTAGTTTTAACTTTGCAAATACAATTAGGTGAGTTTTATTTTCTGTACCTCAAAGGGAGGACCTTTTTTTTTTAATGCTTGTTGAACAAGGGATGAACATTTTTTGTGGTGAAAGGTTTGGAAGGGTTTTACAATGGTCCTTTGCTATGGACCTCCTTGTATCTCTCACTGAGAATTTTGTTGAGTTAATTAAATAATTGAGCTAATGACTTCCTATAAGAACAAGGCAAATTACACCTTGCTATTTGATGGTCTTGGTTTATCACTCCATCAGCCATTGCTCTATGATTTGGGTGGAGGAAAGAAGTGGCTTTATACTGTTATATTAGAACTGGGATGGCATGACTGACTCAAGTATTTCTGCTTTTATTAAACAAGGTTCACACTATCGAGAATGAGCTTCCCTGTTCTCAAGTCAAACATGCCTAAATATAGGTTATTTTTAGCTTTGTCCTTGGGTATAGCAAGAGGATTGAGGTAACTATCCATAGTCTGTAGGTTAACCTACCTTAATTCTGCCCTTTTAAATAAATAATAAAACAATTGCTGTTTCTTACAGAATTTTTCAGATCTTCAAAAGCTTAGTCCTGGACAAGCTTGGTAAATGAAAATATCTGAATGTCATGTGAATTGACTTGTTACAGTGTGAAGGTCATTTCTCTGTTCCTCTCAGAATTTACTTTGAAAGTCAAGCTTAATTCTATTAAACCTTGACTACCCAATTCTCATGACAAAATATGTATACCTTGGATCAAATCCTAACAACTGTCTTCTGAATAGCTTTCACATTGTAAGCCTTCAAAGTGAATATATTAAGAATGATGAAATTCATGCATTTCATGTGCATGAATGATTGTCTAATGTGCATATTTTAAGTACCACACAATTTTATGCTTAATTATTTAGGTTAATAAATATGCAAATATGTGGTTTTAAATTGTTCTAATAATGTTTGAACTTTATTTTGTTCATCCATAAAGATATTACAATTTTTTTAAAAATTGATTTTTAGAAGAAGAGGAGAGAGGAACATTGATGTGAGAGTGAGACATCGATGATCACTGCCTCCTGCATGCCTCCTACCTGAGATGGAGCCTGCAACCCAGGCATGTGCCTTGACCTTGAATCAAACTGTCAACCTTTTGGTGCGTGGAAGGACACCCAGCCAACTGAGCCACACTGGCCAGGGCAAGATTTTCAGATTCTTAA